TAGTGTTGCTGGATCTTATTACCCTGTGTACTCTAGTTTAGGTGTTGCCCCTTTGTATAGCTTAGCCTCCCCTGCTGCGTCAGGCGTAGGACTGCCTTGTTTGCCTGACCTAGTCTCTGCACCGGCTCCGTTCCCGGCCTCCGCCGAGGCTTCGCTGTCCTTCACTCTCGACTCCGGTGCCTCTGCCTGCTTCTTCCGCGACCGCTCCGCGCTCACGCCACTTGCTACGCCTGCTGTTGTCTCTCTCGCTGACCCCTCTGCGGGTCCTGTCGTCGCTCGCAGTTCTATGTCCCTTCCCTGTCCAGCAGTTCCCTCAGGCTCCCTTACAGGTCTCCACGTTCCCTCGTTCTCGAGGAACCTGGTTGGTGTCGGCTGTCTCCAGGACCTCGGCGTCACCACCACGTTCCCCGGGCACGAGCGGTTCGCTGTCTGTTCTGAGTCTGTCTCAGGTTCCCTCCTTGCGACGTTCCCCCGGGACCCGGTGTCCGGTCTGTTCACCCTAGACACTGCTTCCCCCCTGGTTGGTGCGTCCTCCCTGGTCACTGCAGCTTGCTCGTGTCGGCCCCTCACTCACCCGTCCCTTCTCTGGCACCACCGCCTAGGCCACCCTGCACTCACGTCTGCGTCACATGTCCAGCACGTCTGTCTTAGGTCTCCCGCGTCGCTCCCTGCCCTTCCTCGCCTCACACGTGCACGCCTTGCGTCGAGGGTGGCTCCGCCGTGCTCCTCACTCCTCCTCGCTGCCCTGCTACTGCCCCCTTCAGACCCTGCCTTGGACGTTTGGGGCCCTGCCCCGTCCCCGGACCGCGCGGTGAGCGCTACTTCCTTGTGCTCGTCGACGACTACACGCGCTACACCACGGTGTTTCCCCTGGAGCGGAAGGCCGACGTGCCCGACGTTCTTCTCCCGTGGGGGCTGCGCGTCTCACCGCGGTCTCCCCGTGTTGTGTCTCCACTCCGACCGTGGCGGCGAGTTCGCCTCTGGTCGGCTTGGACAGTTCTGTCGTGCGGAGGGCATCACCCAGTCGTACACCTTGCCGGACTCGCCACAGCAGAATGGGGTTGCTGAGCGCCGCATCGGCTTGGTCATGGAGGTCGCCCGTACCTCCATGATCCATGCCGATGCCCCCCATTTTCTGTGGTCGTTCGCTGTTCGCTACGCTGCTCACCAGCTTAACTGTGGCCACGCTCCCAGCGGCCGCAGGTTTCGCCGACCCTCCTTTGGACCGGGTCCCCCGGTGACGCGTCTGCGTTCCACGTCTGGGGCTGCCTTGCTCACGTTCGTGCCTCTGGCACGGACAAGCTCACTGCCCGCACTGTCCCCTGTGTCTTCCTCGGTTTCCCCCTGGACTCGTCTGACTGGCTTTTCTACCACCCGCCGTCTCACCGCTTCCTCCACTCTCGTGACGTCACCTTTGACGAGTCCGTCTCCTTCTACCGCCGCTTCCCTCACCGAGGTCTCCCAGTTGCCCCCCCCTGTTCCTTGCTCCCTCTCCCCCGGTAGCCCCTGCCCCTCTCCCGCCTCGTCCTGCCCGTCTGGTGTCTCCACGTCACTCCCCTCCCGTCGGTTGTCCCCGTTGAGGAGTCTGCTGACTCTGGTGGTACCCCCGTCCGTCCTTGCCGCTCCCCCTTCCCCGGTGCCTCCGCCCCCACTGTCGCAGTCGCCGACCCCGCCCCCGCCCGCCGTCGCCGCCCAGCCGTGCCGCCGTCCGCGCCACCGCCCTGCCGCCCACCCGCCGCAGCCGCCGCTGTCGCCGCCGCAGCCGTGCGCGCCGCCACTGCCGCCGCTCTTGGCCCCTGGGGGTGCTGGTGTGGAGGAGGGTGTTCGTCCTGCGGCTTCTGGGGGTGCCGCTGGTGTTGGGGGGGTTCTCGCTCTGGGGGTGTTGGTTCTGGGGTGCTGCTGTTGAGTGTTCTGCCGACGGTCGTTCTGCCTCTGCTGGTCCGAGAGTTCCGGCCCAGCCGTCGCGCGCCGCAGCAGCCGTCGCCGCCGGTTTCGCTCTCCGCCTGCTCGGCCTTCCCTCCCCGGACGCGCGCCGGTGTCTCCCCCACCGCCTGCTGACCTTCCTGTCTACGGTCCTGTGTTCCCGCCGCCGGACTCGTCTCCGGCCGTCTTCCTCCTCGTTCCCCTCCTGTGTCCCCGCTGTCCCCTGACCCTACCCTCCGTCTCACGTTTGGCTCGCCGTCCCTCCCGTGCTCGTCCCGTCTCTCCTGTCCTGCCCACCCACCCTATGTTGCTCCGTTCCCGCTCGTCTCGTCCTCCTCCTCCCCCCCCTCCTCCCTCGTCCCTTGCTGTTGCACCTCCTCCGTTCTCTGACTACCTCCGTGCTTCTCGTCCCCTTGTCCCTTGGGTCCTTGCCCTCTCTTGTTACCGACTCTGCTGTTCCTGTCTCGCGCCTTGACGCGCTTGCCGCTGCTGTCGCTGACTTTGCCTCTACCCGCCGCCTTGACTACGCTACCACTCTGGTCTCTGACCCTGCCCGTCCTCCGTCCGTCGAGGGTGCTCCTGCCCTTGGCAGTGACGTCCTAGAGGATAGGCAGTACGAGCTTGCTTTCCTGTCTGAGGCTGCTCCCCATCTCTGCTCCATGCTGTTAGTCCCTGAGGGTGACCCAGACGCCTTCGACATCCCGACTCCTCGCACCTACGCTGAGGCCACCTCGGACCTTGGGCCTCTCAGTGGATAGCTGCCATGGAGCAGGAGATGGCATCTTGGAGTCCACCGGCACTTACGTCGACGCAGTTCCCCCGCCTGGGGTGAACATAGTCGATGGTCGGTGGCTCTTCAAGGTGAAGTGCCCCCTGGAGAGCCGCCTGTCTTCAAGGCGCGCTACGTGGCCAGAGGTTTCAGTCAGGCGCGAGGGGGTTGACTTCTTCCAGACCTTCGCCCCGACCCCGAAGATGACACTCTTCGGGCGCTGCTACACGTAGCAGCACAGCGTGACTACGAGCTTCACTCCCTCGACTTCTCTACTGCCTTTCTTCAGGGCAGCCTACACGAGCAGGTCTACTTGCGCCGACCACAGGGCTTCACTGGTACCTTCCCCTCTGGGACCCAGTGGCTTCTCAGGCGGTCGGTCTACGGCCTGCGCCAGGCTCCTCGCGAGTGGCACGACACGCTGCGGGCCACGTTAGCAGACCTGCAGCTCTTTCCGTCCTCTGCTGACCCCTCGTTGTTTGTGCGTTCCGGCCAGACTCCGTTCTACATCCTTGTCTACTGCTGACAGGGACGCACTGGCCTCTGTGAAGGCCGAGCTGCTGAAGAGACACACCTGCACTGACCTTGGAGAGCTGCGTCGCTATCTTGGCCTGCAGATCTCTAGGGACAGAGCAGCACGCACCATCACTCTAACACTGCACACTTGGTGCGTCAGGTCCTTCAGAGGTTCGGTCTTCAGTTCTCCTCCGCACAGCCCACACCTTTACCTGTAGTCCATGGGCTCTCCGCTCCCATTTCTGGGGAGCCCGTAGAGCCCAGTGGCCCCTACACAGAGCTGGTGGGTTGCCTCATGTACCTGATGACTTGCACTCCCCCAAATCTCGCATACCCTCTCAGCATCCTGGCTCGCTTTGTGGCTACAGGTACGTAGACACCGACCTCAGCACTGGTCTGCCACTAAGAGTGTTTTGCGTTATCTTGCTAGTACATCGGGCATGGGGTTAGTGCTAGGAGGACGCAGGCCAGTGGTCCTTACTGGGCACACAGACGCTTCTTGGGCAGACGTCTCTGAGACGCTCAGGTCATCGCAGGGCTACTGTTTTAGCCTTGGTTCGGGTGCTATCTCTTGGAGATCCACTCGCTCGTCGTCTGTTGGCTCAGTCTAGCTGTGAGGCTGAGATCTACGCGGGTGCCATGGCGGCACAGGAGCTCCGCTGGCTGACCATCTTGCTCACAGACTTAGGTGAGCAGCCTAGCTCTGCCCGGTCCTGTACGCTGACAACAGGGCCATGATACTCCTGTGTCTGGGGCCTCGGCTTGAGGGCAGAGCAAAGCATATCCAGCTGCGGTACTTCCTCCTGCGCGAGCTACAGCAGCGCCGCCAGGCCCACGTAGTTCACTTGGCCTCAGGTGCCAACACAGCTGATATCTTTACTAAGGCCCTTGCGCCTAAAGATCATCAGCGGCACTGTGTACAGCTTGGTCTTGTTCCTGTAGCTACTCACCTGTTAGGATCCTGATTGTGTACTCTCTATTATATATGCTCGTCAGACTGGCCTTGTGGCCTTACCTCCAGTGGCTGGACTAGTAGTGCCGCCCTGGCTTGCTTTAGTTTTGTTTGTACCCTTGCTGACTGGTCTCCAGACCCCTGCCTCAGTGGTTGGACTAGTAGTGTCACTCTGAGCTGTTTGCTTCTTGCTTAGCTTCACCCCTTGTTTAGCCTAGGGGGTGTGTCAACTTATACATATTAGCTGTGTACGAGTTATAGGCTAGACTGGGGTATGCTTCTAGTGAGTACAACCAACTAGTATTTGTTCTAGTTTCTACTTCTAGTTCATTATTCAGTTCTTACTTTAACACTGGGAACACGCTCTCAAGGTCGCGCGTGAGTCTGGGAAGAGGTTGCCTTGGAAGAGGCTCGTAGGAACTGAAATAAAATGCATGGTGTTGCAGTAGACTAAGTATAAAACTGCAAACACGAACACTTGGCAAATCCTCAAGTGTTGGTCCAGGATCTTTGCTGGAATGGTAGACTAGTAAGACAGCGGAAGTCTTGTAAATGTAAAGGTCAAGGTTGAATGACCTGAGTACGTGAACTTGTGAGTAATCAAAGTTAATAATGAAAAGACCTAACAAGTATTTATAGTTCTACGAAAAGTACCTATTCGCTAATGTACCTGTTCGTCACTATCGCGCTATGCGCCCTAGATGATAATGAAGAGGTGCGACTGTTCGCGTGACTGAAACGACTGTCCTATGACGAGCGCTATTCGCTGACGTCATCCTACGGACTTATCTTCTACAGTATGATTCGACACTAACTAAACTTAATCGACTTACAGAAATGGTAAAAGTACTCAGTACTCATCTTTCTAAAACATCTCGCTACTCTGAGAAGTGCTTGCATCAAACAATGCTGCTGGAGGTGGGGTCATTGAGTTGAGAGCCTTCAGTTCAGTACCGTACTCGATATGTACCGTTCCCTGGGTGATCCCAGGGACCAAAGTAGAATCCGAACGCTTGTATGTCGGCCGACAGGAGCAAAAGTTAATTCGTAGTCGATGCCGTAAGTCTGTTCGAACCCGCGGACGACCCATCGCGCCTTGAATTTCTCAAACGACCCATCTGCATTAGTCTTGACGCGGAAGACCCATTTTCCGGTAAGTACCTTCTTCCTTTTTACTTCTGAAGTCGGTATTAAATCCCATGTGCCGCGATTCTTGAGTGCTGCTAGCTCCTTGTCCATGGCTTCGCGCCATTTTTCTCGGTGAGGACTCGTAAGAGCTTGTCGAACGGTTTTCGGTTCAGGTATTTTACTGTCATTGTACTGTACTGCGACAGCGAACCCCGGTATCTGTAATCCTGTTTCTGTAAAGCGCGGGCGTTCTTCGTTTGCACCGACGAAATTTTCTTCTGGTCCTTCTTTCCCCCCAATTTCGTCAGGTGTAATACGAACTGCTTCATCGGAGACCACGGGCATCGGCTGTTGTTGGCGATCGCGTTCGTAACTGAGATGAACTTCGCGAACATCATCCTGGTCAGCATTTGCAAGAGGAATGAATTCAGGTATGCCGGTTGAGGTGACAGGTTCGGGAATGTCTGTTGCGGCAGCTTCGGAAGCTTCAGAAACATCCTCGTCCTGTACATCAGCTTCGGCTTCGTTAGTTGCAAATGCACGAGAGCCTTCGAACAGCCTGGCAGGATTGGCAGCTGCTGCCTGGTGGGCACGAAAAACGGGCAAGGTGAGTCTTTCATAGAAAAGACAATCACGTGATGGAACGACTTGATTGGAGCGGAGATCCGAAATCTTCCACGCGTGATACTGTTTTTCGATGCCGAGATGTACCCCCCATTTTGCTCGTTCGGAAAATTTTCCGAGTGCTGCGGTTGGAGGACGAAACTGTACAACACACCCGAAAACTCGTAAAAGTTTTGTGCTACCGACTGTACGTGTCCACTGCAGGTGTGGAGAGGAGAACTCGGGCAGGGACGTTGAGGAAAGAAGATTGTGTACCAGCACTGCGTGATCCATCGCATACGGCCAAAAATGCCGTGGAAGGGCTGCCTGCTTCAGCAGAGCACGCATCTTCTCCTGCAGAGTTCTGTTCATCCTTTCTGCTACCCCCATTTGTTGGTGTGCATGAGGCAGTGACTGCTTCTGTTTGATGCCGAGTGTCTGAAGATACTCTGTGAAGGTGTTGCTGGTGTACTCCCCTGCACCATCACTCTGAAATTCTTGTAGTTTCACGTTGGACTCTCGTTCAGCGACAGCGAGCCACGCGACGAAGACGGAGTGAGCGAGATGCCGCGCGGGTAAGTTTGCTGTCCAGACATAGTGTGTAGACGCTTCGATGAAAGTTATCACATACTTCTCGTCTTTAGGTCCTGCTTCAGATAAGTTGAGTATGTCGCTGTAGACTTTCTGCATCAGTTTATAACGTGTTGAGCCAGGAAAATGACTGGGAAACGGATCGTGCGTAAGGTTGGCAACTGGACAAGTGGTGCAAACCGTCGGACGAGACTGCGGCTTCATCTCCGTGCCATCAGGTAAAAGTAAACTATTTTTATCAAGAACTGCTGCTCGGATTGAATGATTAAGAATCCCTTGTGATGGATGTCCTAACCGCTGATGCCATATATCTTCTGTTGCTTTGTGTCCTGATGATCGCAGGTAGAAATCGCGTTAGTATAAAAAGAAGAAAGAATGAAAGGAGAAAGCGCTTGTGACTTGTCAATTTCTTCGTCGACGAAATGGTTAAGAGGTAACGTGACATTTGTTGGTGCTGCTGAAGTTGCGAGTATAACTTTTGACACTGCTTCTGTCGATGTCGTGGCAGGTATTTCGGCGACAGCTACTGTTGGACTCGGCTGCTCAGCTACTTCTTCCTGTTCGGCTTCTTCAACAACGTCAGGTTCATCAGCTGCAAGACCTCTTATCTCTCCCCAAAGTGGTGCTGGAGTTCCTTGGAAGGCTGCACGGGTATTATAAAACGTTCGCCATGCAGTGGCACTTTCATCGGCGGTATTGAACTCCCAGGTATCCAACGCGGTAAGTACGGCGGCTGCTGTTCGAGAAGCTGTTGGTACAGTAGTTGCTCGAAAATCAATGTCCACGTGTTGATAATCTGTTTCTTCTGGGTGATCCCAGGGACCAAAAGTTCCCTGTGCTGCGAACTGAAGAACGGATACGCCATGTTGAGTGGCGGCACGACCAAGATAAGTATTCGTCAAACTGTGCCAGAGCTCCTGATCCATTGTGTCACAATTGCCCTGTGTGCGGATTTTGTGTGCCAGGAGTTGAGCCGTGGAAAGAAGATTGAAGCCAAGACCGGCGACGATAAGAACATTAGTAACATGAAGTGAGTATCCCGTGTCGATAGATTCGAGCATGACACTTCCAACTGCTCGTGCCATAATAGTTTGTCCGTTTGCGACTGTTACAGGTATCGAACGACGAATTGGACGTTGATTGGTGATGAAGCTTGTTTCTGCTGAGCACATGTGCCAACCGCAGCAACTGTCGAGATACCAGGTATTCGGACCTGAAATTATTCGAGCGAGGTTAGCGTAAACTTGAGGTAAAGGAATGCCTTCAGAACTTGTGGTTTCTTCAAGTCGTGTCTCGAAATCTGTTTCTGAAATATCAACTGTTGTAACACAACCAAAAACCCCTTTTCCTGATGTGGCAGATGCGAAGACCGGCGGGCGATGCTGCGACATTGATAAATTCTGCGACGGTTTCGGCATCTGCTGCTGCTGAGACGTTAACTGCTGATGTGGCTGTTGTGTCTTCGGTAACGGCTGCGATCGTGATACGGCTGCGAAGTATTGCAACGAGGTTGATGACGGCTGCGACAGTTTTGGTAAGTATGTCCTGGTTTCTTACAAAAGTGGCAGAATGGATACTTTGGTGGATGTCGATGCTGTTGTTCTGGATTGGAGTAAAAACTTAAATGAAGTCCCTTTTTCTGATTTCGTTGTGATTGCAGGTCAAGATCTTGCTGCTCTGCTTGAAGATAAGAAGAAATTTCGGCTTCGGAGAGATTGGGATTCATGCGCAGGAAGGCGCGCGTCTGTCGCCATTCGGGTCCAAGACCAGCCAGAAGTACCGTGAGATACATCTCACGAGGGAAGTATCCCCCACTTTTCTCCAGTTGATCTCGTAGTGTACGGACACAGTTAACGTAGTCCATGACGTTCTCACTTGTCATCATCTGCACACTTGTTAACTGCGAAAGTATTTTACTCACTGTTATCGTATCCTTTGCCATGTATACCCGTTTCAGATGGTGTGAAACGTGAGTGAAATGATCGAACGCCGAGCTGCTCCTTCGGCGACAAGTTCCGTACAAGAACTGTATACGCCCACAGAGAGGCGTGCAAGAAACTCTGCTGCTCCAGTTGTGTTCCCACGACAGGATACGTAAATTCGCCAGTGAAGAACGGCCATAGCCCAGCGGACTGCGCCAAAAGTTCAAACACAAAGCTCCAGGAGTAGAAGTCAACACCATTAAAAGGTACTGTTGTTGTTGTTGTTGTTGTTGTTGTTGTTGTTGTTGTTGTTGTTGTTGTTGTTGTTGTTGTTGTTGTTGTTGTTGTTGTTGTTGTGCTGCTGCTGTTGTTGTTGTTGTTGTTGTTGTTGTTGTTGTTGTTGTTGTTGTTGTTGTTGTTGTTGTTGTTGTTGTTGTTGTTGTTGTTGTTGTTGTTGTTGTTATTGCTGCTGCTGTTATTGCTGTTGCTGTTGCTGTACTTGCTGTGGTTGCTGATACTGCTGTTGTTGTTGCTGAGTAGGGAACGACCGAAGATATAGAAAGGATGCTGAAACTGTTGCGACTGCGGCTGCTGTACGAAAGGTGAGAAAGCGAACGAACCAGTACTTGGAGCTGTAGCTCCACGCATGTAACTTGAGCCGACAAGGCTCATTCCACTGAACGCATATGAAATCGATTGCGTTGAAACTGGTGGATGTACCGACGCTTGTTGCTGTGCTGTTGTTTGTGATTGTTGCTGTTGCGCTGTAGGTGTAGTCGATGGAGCACCTGGAGTATTCACAGAAGGCGGATTCTGCATTAGCATAGGCTGGTGGAAAGTGCCCAGAGGCTGAGAGACCAGCGGCGGTAGTGGAGGCATATGCTCCAGTAGTCCCAGTAACTGATCCAGCAGATGGTGCTGGTGATGAACCAGTCATAGTTGACGGTAGTCTTAATTCCAGATAGCTCTCATACCATGAAATAAAACGTATGGTGTTGCAGTAGACTAAGTATAAAACTGCAAACACGAACACTTGGCAAATCCTCAAGTGTTGGTCCAGGATCTTTGCTGGAATGGTAGACTAGTAAGACAACGGAAGTCTTGTAAAATGTAAAGGTCAAGGTTGAATGACCTGAGTACGTGAACTTGTGAGTAATCAAAGTTAATAATGAAAAGACCTAACAAGTATTTATAGTTCTACGAAAAGTACCTATTCGCTAATGTACCTGTTCGTCACTAACGCGCTATGCGCCCTAGATGATCATGAAGAGGTGCGACTGTTCGCGTGACTGAAACGACTGTCCTATGACGAGCGCTATTTGCTGACGTCATCCTACGAACTTATCTTCTACAGTTTGATTCGACACTAACTACACTTAATCGACTTACAGAAATGCTAAGTATCGATTATATCACAACAGGAACATGCTCTTAGGTATATGCCATAAGAGAGTACAACCCACTAGGTAAAAGTACTCAGTACTCATCTTTCTAAAACATCTCGCTACTCTGAGAAGTGCTTGCATCAAACAATGCTGCTGGAGGTGGGGTCATTGAGTTGAGAGCCTTCAGTTCAGTACCGTACTCGATATGTACAGAGTGCAATACACATGGTGACATGATCAAAGTTACATTTCGGAAAACGTAAGGCGCAGTGCACAGTGGCTGACATGCGCAACGTTGTACCGTAAGAGCGTGTTCCTACAGCCTCTTCCCACATCCACCCCATTTCGAGACTCGTGGTGCACTGCACTGAACTGCATTGAATCAATTCGCGTCAAATTGCTCTGTACAGTAGCTCACGCGTTTGGGAAGGGGCGAGTCTGGGTAGAGGCCGCAGGAACACGCCCAAACACCTGAGGGGCTCTGTCAGCCGAGTATCACATGCCAGCACGATAGTTACATTTGAGACAGGGCCAAGCACAGGGCGCCATCGCTGACATGAGCAACACTGTAACACTTGAGGGACTCGGCCATCCGAGTGGCGAGCAAGTGCTTGCACTGGGGAGCCAAAAGGGAAATTGAAGGGGGGAAAGGGGAAAAATGATTCAAATGCTTTACTCTTGAGGCATCTCAATACATTGAAACATTCAAGAGACTCCGCTAACTGAGTAGCGAGCAAGTGGTTTCACAGGGGAGCACCAAGGGGACATGGATCGGGGATACAGGGAATGTGGTACTAGGCGATGAGGAAATCAAGGGAACGTCAAGACGCCCAATGCCACTCACCATGATCTATTCACTGGGAGAGACTGTGTCGTAGAAGAACGACTGGCAGAGGCAGTAGTGGCGTGAGGCAGCAGGACGTGAAAGGACAAGGATTTGCTGTGTTTTTTTTATAAAGCGCAGAGACGCTACAGTATACACCATATCACACGCACCATGAGCTGTTCGTTTCGAGACACGGCATCATAGAAGAACGACTGGCAGGGGCAGTAGTGGTGTGGCAGACAAATGTGAAAGGCAGAGCTCCTGGGGTTCCACGAACCTGCAAGGAGGTCAACAGGGGTATAGATAATTTAGGCGCCTGAAAAAAGGGCAGCAGTGGCGTGACAGACAGATTTGGAAGGCAGAGCTCCTGGGGTTTCTGGGAACCTGCAAGGAGGTCAGCAGTGGGATAGATTTTTAGGTGCCTGAAAAATGGGCGGTAGTGGTGCGGCAGACAGATGTGGAAGACACAGCTCCTGGAATTCCTCTGAGCCTGCAAGGAGGTCAAGAATGGCAGGCTGAAATGAGCAGGCTAACACAAATAATATAACCGTTTTCTTACCTGAAATGAGCAGGCTGAAGATTGAGATGCCTCGGAATTCAATTTACTCGCAAAAAAAGAATGATCAAGCTGGAGCCATTTAAGCAATAAATTTTATCACCTGAAATGCACATCTGCCACTGAGATGTGCGATCAGCTTCGTCACACAGCCATGGTCCAGGATTGCTAAGGCCCGGTCCAGCTGACATGTGGATAAGACCCTCACACGCAGAGAGCCTTACCAGGAATGCGCTCCTGCCACTGGGATGCGCGATCAGCTTGGTCACATTGCCATGGTCCAAAATGGCCAAGGCTCGGTCCAGCTGAGACTGGAACAGAACCCGCAAGCTGATCGTATATAGGCAAGGAGAGGAAAAAGGCTAAAGATCAGAAAGACGCCAGGAAAGGATTTTGTCCAGCTGAGACTGAAATAGAACCCGCAAACTGAGCAATGCAGGGAGATGGATGAGAAGGGTTTAATCAGAGAGGAGGGAAGGGCGACAAATCCCAGCTGAGACTGAAACAGAACCTCAAACTGATGGCATAAAGGCAGGGCGAGGAAAAACGGATTGAATTCAGAAAGATACTAGGAGAGGATTTGTCCAGCTGGGAGACTGAGACGATGTTGAAATGAGTGGTCAGAAGAAAGACACTGATGAAGTCTTTGTTCTGACCAGTGAACAAGGACACGATGTTAAAAAAGGACTGGAAGAGTGTGGAGAAGGGAGCGAGAAAGGGAACAGCGGAACCGATGAAGTGAAATGCAGCAGATGCAGGAGGGCTGGAGAAGGCAGGCGGAATGCACGTGGTCAAGCTGATTTTCTGGAAATTTTTTAAATAACGAATTAAAGAAAGAGAAGGCTATGGATAAATTCTGACTGAGTGCATCACTTATGACGGAAACTGCTTGACAGAAAGTGTAACGAAGAGGATGTGTGTGCCTTGGAGTTTTGAGTCAACTCAAAACACACGAAAGTGTAACGAAGAGGATGTGTGTGCCTTGGAGTTTTTTTGTCCGAGGCGAAAGATCGTGTGTATCCCACGTTGTGTGTGGTGTGTTGAAGAAATCGCGTGTGTTCTGACTGATGGGGTTTGAGACTCACCATCCCAGGCTGCAATCAGAAACTGCACAAGGAGCCGATGGAAGGAGAGGGAGTAAGGGAGAGAGAAGGGAGGGAGGGAAGAGAAAATTAGAGGCGTTTGGAGCGAAAACAAGAGGAAAAAAAATGCCAGACCTCAGAGTCGGATGCCTGTGAACCGACATAAGGAAGGGAGACCAGTGGCACAGAAATGCACACCCGGAACAATCTTTGAGAATTCTAAAGAACAAGCTGAAGCTCAACCAGTGGGTTTTTTAGGCGGTTTTTTTTTTTTTTGTGCCTCAAAAATCACCCCCGGAAATCGTTGAGAATTCTCAAAAACAAGCTGATGGGTTTTTTTAGGAAATCATTCAAACCTCTCACACGGGCCTGTGGGAGGGAGATCAGTGGAACAGAAGTGCAGATCAAAACGGCTGGCTGACCTATGGGAACCCAAACCACCAATCAGAACAAGAGATTCTCCATGCAGATCCACTCTCTGATACCGAGCCCGTCCTCGAGCCTGCATACCGAGCCTTGCCGCCGTCGCTGCACTGATCGTTGACTCGCTCTCGCCGCTCGACACGCCTTTCGGTTCCTGGGTTGCCCTTCCCTCCATATCTCGGCCATCACTGGTTCCGTCCCTTGCTTCCCTGGCTCTCCTTCCCCCAGCATCTATCGATCCGTCCCTCGCATCAGTGCTTCCGTCCCTGACTCTCGGTTCGCTGGTGAGTCTAGTAGCCGCGAATTGGTCTGTAAGGTCGCGGAAGAGATCTTCAGTTAGAACGGCTAGCGGCGGCACCGGGAGTGGAATTTCCGTGAAAGCTGCGGAGCGAGAGATAGAGGGAGGAGGCTGGTCCGAGTTTGCCGCCATCATGGAAAATCGTTCAGGATTCCTCTTGTCAAAAGCTCGAATACTAGCGGCGTGAATGCTGCTGAAACAACAGTCAATGCGGCTCTAATAACCTTCGTCTTTTCAAATCCGCGACGATTGGACGGTTCGGCGGATGGGATTTGAATTCTGTAACGCCCCTCTCTCAAGTCTCAGGAGCCATGGCATAACTGGCAGAATGTAGGAAGCAGGGAGGGCGTGTAAGGGCAAGTCATCCGCGTTTATCTTGCGCACCCATACGTGAACTGGAAAGACGGATTTCAGTTCATATTTTAGGGTAACTGACCTGTAACAAAAATACAGTAAATATATATTTTGACGGGCGAGGGTCGCACTTTCATTTAGCAAGCCTGCAAACGTTCAAGCCAAAATTTCCGAGAAACTTTTTGAGTTCATGACACTTGGAAGGAAACTTGGTACACACTCGACATGGTACAGAATAGGCCCCATTAGCCTTAGGGATACATCAGAAACGTTTTTCTGACGTAGACGCACTTGGACTAGTTCAGCTGTGCCGTCGTTGCTGTGCGATCAGCTTTTACGTACCGATCTGCTAGGGGAGTGTAGAAACGGCAAAATCCGAAATACCATTGCTAGTTGACAAGCCGGAGGAGCGGATACTGCTCACGCCCATTGCACGGCGGTCCCTAGAATCGCCGACATGCAGAATTCTTGCGAGACATCGACCGGCGGATCTTCTCCTATCGACCGTCTACCTAACGATCTTCTATCGTCAGCTGACGCATCTCCGGCAGTCGACCGTTTATCGGACGACCTCCTGTGTTCCATTCTCCGACTATCTGCCGTCAACGGCTCTCCCCCCTTCCGCCTCTCGCTCGTGTGCAAGCGATGGCTTCGCCTCGCGTATATCATCCAGACTTCCTTACCCGGCACGTTCTTCGCATCTATCACGCAGAAACCCTCTCCTCCTGCTTTTGACTCGATCCGAAAACAAACTCCTCTGAGTCAGGCTCCTCTTTGTCTTCAACTTTCCCATCGTCTCTCGAGAGGAACCAGCGGGAATGGCGGCGAGATTGTGAACCATGGTGGCGGCGGGAGTGGTGGTGAAAGTGCAAACGTTAGCCGCATCGGTAGCAGCAGTAGCAGCAACGAGGGTATTTCCAGGAGCAGCAGTAGCAGCAGTCGCCGAGTCAACTACATCAGCCTTGACCGACCTAGTAAAATAACTTACCTCCTTAAATCCCTCGCTAAGTTCCCGCATCTCACTGGCCTTGCCACGTCACCCCACTGCCTAGAAGCCTACCAAGGAAGCTTCCTCACCAACCTCCCTCTCTCCTGCCCCAGCCTAACCTCCATCTCCTTCGGTCCCCTCACATCTCCACATCAGTCCATTACCGAATCAGATCTTAACGGATTTTTCCAGGCGTTCAAGTCGCAACTGAGGGAGGTGTACCTGGACGGATGCATCAATAAAATCACAATCATGCCGTCTTCCCTTACAGTCATCTCTTCCCTTCGTTTACTGCACATTCAGTCCAGCTGCCTGTTGGAATTGCCCGAGGATTTGAGCCCTCTAAGCTGCTTACAGGAGCTATCCCTCCAGTGCTGGAAACTTTTATGTCTGCCCGAATCTGTCGGGCAGCTTTCCTCCCTGACGAAGCTGGACCTGGTTTGTTGCTCCAGTCTTCCTCAGCTGCCCGAATCTCTCACCCAGCTGCCCGCTCTCACCACCCTTGACGTCTCCCACTGCTCCAATCTGTTTGACCTGCCCCAGAATTTCGGGCGGATGAAAGCTTTGCGAGATTTCAAGCTATCCGGGGGATCGTTTTCGACTGACGTGCCCGAATCTTTCTGCAGGCTGCCCGATCTTCGCAAGCTTGAGTTGCGGCATGCCTATTGGCTGGACGCCCTTCCATCCTCAATCTCCGCCCTCCAGAATATCCGATCCATAGACCTGAGCATCTGCAATTGGCTCAAGAATCTACCCGAGGAAACCGGGCAGCTGCAGAAATTAGAGGAGCTGAGGCTGACCGACTGCCTAAAGATCAACCGGCTTCCGGACTCCCTCTGCTCACTGCCCAACCTGAAGGTTCTGTCTCTCCAAAAGTGCTTCAGTATAGAGTATCTCCCTGCAGCGTTAGGAGACATCTCCTCCTTGACCCATCTCGAGCTCTGCAAACTAGCCAAGCTAACCACTGTACCCTCATCAGCACAAGATCTCCTGAACCTGGAGGTTCTTATATTGAAGGGGTGCAAATCCCTCGCAAGTGTGCCGAGGCTGCTGCTGCAGCAGCCGCGTTTGAAGCACCTTGTGTTGAATCACATTGAGTGCCTGGACCAGTTGTTACTTGACATGGGCGCTATGGCTGTTCCTGCTGCCACGTCATCTGCTAATGCTGCCTCTTCTGCTGGTGCTGCTGCTGCTGCTGCGGCTGATGCTGCTGGTGCTGCTGCTGCGGCTGATGCTGCTGCTGCTGCAGCTGGTGCTGCTGCTTCAGATCTTCTGCCGAGTGTGGCCTCTGCCGGAGTTTCTCCCCCTGCAGCCTTTGCTGCAGGTTCCCCCAATGCTGCTGCCACTCCTGCTGCTGCTGCTTACCATACCCCAGCATCCCATCCCAGCCGTCCGCCTCTCCTCCTCCCCTCTTCCCTCACTCACATGGAGCTTGCACGCAACACCACCGTCGCATCTCTACCCCGCTCCTTCTCCCGCCTCTCTAACCTCCACACCCTCTCCGTCCGTCGATTCTCCGGCCTCTTCTCTCTCTTGCCTGACCCAATCACAGCATGCCAGCTGGCAAGGCTGCAGGAATTGAGGCTGGCGTTTTGCAAGAAGCTGACTCACCTCCCTCCCTCGCTGCACCTCCTCCTCCCCTCCCTCACCCATCTCGTTCTCTTCAGCTGCACCGCCCTTTCTTCGCTGCCCAAGGATCTCGGTCAGCTGGAAAATCTTTCTTACCTGGAGCTGTCTCGCTGTGCGGGAATGACCACGCTACCAGATTCTCTATGCAGGTCACCGTCCCTTGAGCAACTCATTATTTCCACCTGCCCAAAAATCTCTTCTCTGCCCGCAAACCTCGGGCAGCTGCCATCGCTAAAAGGCTCTCTCTGGACAACTGCAAGGCGGTAACCAGCCTGCCCGGGTCTTTAGTCCACGCACCGTCTCTCACCTACCTCTTGGTTTCGGGATGTGGGGGATTGGCAGCACTGCCAGAGGACCTGGGTGCGATGGAGTCGCTGGAAGTACTGATTGTGCGATGCTGTGATGGCGTTCAAGAGTTGCCTGCCTCTCTGGCTCAAGCTCGGAGGCTCAAAAGGGTGGATTTCAGGATATGAGTGGGACTTCAGTTTATGCACCGATTGGCAGCGCTGCCAGAGGACCTGGGTGCGATGGAGTCGCTGGAAGTACTGATTGTGCGATGCTGCGATGGCGTTCAAGAGTTGCCTGCCTCTCTGGCTCAAGCTCGGAGGCTCAAAAGGGTGGATTTCAGGATATGAGTGGGACTTCAGTTTATGCACCGATTGGCAGCGCTGCCAGAGGACCTGGGTGCGATGGAGTCGCTGGAAGTACTGATTGTGAGATGCTGCAATGGCGTTTAGGCGTTGCCTGCCTCTCTGGCTCAAGCTAGGAGGCTCAGAAGGGTGGATTTGAGTGTCAACATATATTTTGTATATGTTATAGGCTAGATAAGTGCATGCTCAGAGGGGTTCAACACCTTAGCATATATCCCTTGTACCCCATCTTTCTAGTCACTTGTTGGGCTGAGAAATGCCCTTAGGATCTTTCAGAGACTAAGTCCAGTTGTAAAAGACTTGAGTAGTGCAGCGGAAGTTGAGTAGTTGAACCCTTGTACTAGTATGTGAGAACAAGTGATTGATTAAAAGAACAAGCATACATCAATATATAGAAAGTAGGAAAGTAAAGCAGTTGTAGAATACAGTTGAAAAAAGGGCGGTTATCGAGTCGCACAGCGACTCGATTGTCGCTTTGGTTACCATCTTTGCAGTTGTAACTGTCAGTCGCAACCTCCAGTTGCGACCCTTCGAGTCCTTTCGTGTTGTTTGTCCATCCCCTCGTGTAACCTCCGTTAACTCGCGTACCCGTTACGATCTTCCTCGAGTGTGGTATTACACTTCAGAAACGCTTAAGTCCTTGAGGTATTTCCAACACTCCCCTTCGTTTCTGGAGTGCTGACGTGTTCAGATCCGGTGACGTTTGTCTGCCCAGTCAGCAGCATGCAGTAATCGAACTTTGCCTTCGCCAGTTTCTTCGTCAGGTAGTCTGCGGCCATTTCTGTCGTAGGGCAGTAACTGAGTTGAAGTCTCCCCTTCGTGATTTCATCTTTGACGAAAAAGTACCGCAGGGCAATGTGCTTGGTTCGGTTGGCGAAACCGTCCTTGTTCGCGATTTTGATCGCAGATTGGTTGTCGCAGAGGAGTGAGAAGACGGGCAGGGTCGCAATCTTCGCTTCCTCGAGCAACTCTCGTAGGTAGAGTCCTTCCTTGGTCGCAGTACAGAGGGCGATATATTCTGCTTCAGCCGAAGATAGTGCGATTAGTTCCTGTTTGCTCGACTGCCAGGAGATAGTCCCGATAGGTTCTAGTCGGTAGATGTAGCCCGTTCTCGATCGTCGATTTTCCCTGTCCCCCGCGTGGTCGGCGTCGACGTATCCGAGTAGTTGTACGGATGGTTGTTACTTTGCTGTAGGTAAGTCCGGTCGTCGGCGTAGAGACGAAGTAGAGTAGTGCCCGGTTTAGTTCTTCGAGATCTTCTTGTTCCGGCTGCTTCAGATGCGTCGGCAGCTGGCTTGCGCTGTAGGATAGGTCAGGTCGGCAGGTTACTGCTGCGAATAGTAGGCAGCCAAGCTTCTGCTGATACTCCCGGATTTGCTTCGCGGGGAGTTTTTCGGAGGTGTCGTTGTTGTTCCCATAGCGGTAGGGAGTCGCGACTGTAGTTGGTGTTAATCCGAACTTCTTTGCGACAACGCCTGCGTACTTTCCAGCGTATAGGTAGAACGCCGAGTTGTCTTCGACGACATTCAGACCCAGGTACTGGGTCACTGTGTCGGACACCGTGAGTGTCAAGTCCCCTTTCAGCTCCCCTTCGAACCAGGTGGTGATGTCGGTAGTGGAACCGATGTAGAGCAGGTCGTCGACGTAAACGATGACTAGGATATACTCTCTTCCCTTCTGCAGTCGGTACATGCCTTGGTCATG